CCTCCCCGACCTTTGCATATCCCTTTCGCTCACCAGGGTCCAGGTCGTTCCTCCTCTCCACCGTTGTTGAAAGAGAAAGTCATCCTTACTGATCCCAATCTAGCTAACGCATTAATTGAATTTTATGTTGAACGCTTGGTCACTGATTTCAGTCCCACCCAAGTCAGCGGCACCATTGCGTTACGTGAAGCTCGGTCCTTGCGAGTCTTTTCGCCGATTCTGTGCAGTGCGTTTGAAGCGGCATCTCTCACATTCGCCGGCCGGCGCGATGGAAACCGCTCAGTCGAGGTAGCTGGACACTCGCGTTACCTCCGAGTCTTGCGCTCCCTTCAACATGCTTTGTATGACCCTCAGCAAGGCAAGTCGACCGAGGTCCTTGTCGTCGTTCTCCTAGCTACTATCATAGAAGTGAGTCCTGCGTGTTGCTTGCGCAATCATTCGCTAATGTCGGAATAGGCCTTCAAGCAAACATCAAAAGACTCACTTCTCAAGCATCAGCTGGGTGGTTTGGAACTTTTACGGACTCGAACACCATATCGACATCGACATGGCATTGAGCGCTCTTTGTATGTTGACCTTCGGATGTATTGGGTAAGATAAACCTTCATCATTATTTCGAGAAACGACTCTGACAAACTGGCCAGGTCACGGCAGCCTTGGTACATCGGAAGCCTACTTTCCTTGCGGAAAAAGATTGGTTGACAGTTCCATGGCCTGGGGACGGACCGGCCAAGGACATCCTCCAACGCCTGCTGGATGTTGCAGTGCATATCCCCGGATATCTGGCCCAAGTTGATGAGTTCTCGGCGCTACTAAAAGGGGGGAACAAGCCTCCATCAGAGCTAGTCAACATGCAGAGTGCCATTTGGGAACGGGCCACCGAACTTCAAGGTCTTCTCCAAGTATGGAAGAACATGTATGCCGATACATACCCGTCAGGCGGGCTATGGGAGGAAAGTCCAAGCGAAGCAGACCCAACCGACGACTTCCCTAAATTCAGGTGTCGCAACCCCAGCACAATGCAAATAATAGTGGGACAAAACATCATGTACCCGGACCTGCTTCTAGCGACATCAATGACCTTCTACTGGGCCTTGGGCCTGATCATCTCCACCACCGACCCAGGACTAGTCAGCGTCCTCGGACTCCAAGAACGATATCAGTACGCGTGCAACATCTGCCGCAGCATGAAATACTACACCCAAAACATTCCAGGCTGTCTGATCTCACGAGTTATGTTCATCCTCCGCACAGCCTTTGACAACTTCGCAGACGGCATGGTTGAGAAGGAATCGATGGCGGAAATGTTCACCTATATCGGTCGGAAATTCGAGCTCCCTGTGTTTTCCAACAAATGCACATCCTCTTCGGTGAAGGGTGAAGGAACACCATGATTTATTTGTTGATACTTTCCCATACATCCACCTCTCCCTTCATTTCTCCCCTGATCCTATCCTTTTGAGCAGATATTCCCATTTCTGATATTGCGAGAAGGCTTTACGATTGTTATGACCATTGCTACGTGTGATTACATGATCAACACTTCATTCATTCTCATATATAGGCGTTATGGCTGGATACAAGAGCTGGATATTAAGTTATTTGCGAGCGTGTCTTTCAAAGCAAGCAGTCGCCTAGATACTATTCAATGTTACTTATTTACTAGCACTGAGAAAAAAGAGGTATTCTAGTATCCAAATCACTATACAAAGTTGTCTCATCCGTTTCCTATGATGCAATGACAGTATATATTCTTCCTTTCTTTTCCCTTTCCTTTCTATCTTATTTTACATTGTTCGATTCTATCTATTTTTTTTTTTTTTTTTTTTTTTTCTTTTCCTGTTTAATCTTTCACTCCTTTTCAATTACGCCCTAGTACTAGTACTTCATGTCAGTCAATATATAACTACAACCCCGCACAGCGATACTACTAACGACAACAACAACAACTTGATTGAATTGATGAATTGAGTCTAGTAATCTGAATCAAAACACCAATGCCACGAAATGAGTGATAAAGAATAGGGTATTAAAATAAAATAAATAAATAAATAAAAAATAGGAAAGTTATTAAATAAAGCAAAAAAAAAAAAAAAAATCTCCAATTCAAACCAATGCAAAATTACTTCATCGTACAGAGCGTCTCAAGAGACATCATCAATCATCATCATCATTAAGATACTATTTTCACATAACGTCATACTAATTTACTAGTTCTTCTAGTACGCTTATACTTTTTGAATACATTCATGTAGTCCGTTTCACCGGTCCCCAAAGCAGTCCATCCTCTCCTCCAATAATCGCAAAGAAACCTCTCATCATACACCTGGGCTCTGTAAGATGGTAGGGTCTAAAAAACGGAGAAGACCTGTCCACCATGCAGCAGAAGGATGTAGAACGAAGAAGGCCAACAGACAGCGCAGCCCAGCCCACATTATTGTCCTGTCTATGTGGGCCAGCTTACATAGGGAAAGAGAGGGGTCTGAGCGGACTATAGTCATCATTCGATAAGGCAAACGAAACAGATCACATGTCGGGGGGAAGGGGCGCGGTGTGGTCTGGGTCTGGAATTGCATTTTTTTCTCTCGCTCACATGACGGTGCATGTAGCACGGATCTTGGCTCTTCTTGAGACTTTTGTGGGAGGGGGTGGTGTGATTGGTTGATTTCAAGCCCAGTCAGGCCCAGAGAAAAGGAAGCCCTGTTGGCAATTTGTTTTCTCTTCGAGCTGAAGAGTGTGCGTGTGAGTGTGCATGGACACAGCGTCAGCCAACGAGCACCTTTCTCAAGGTTACGCAGAGCATCAGCACGCAAGACTCAGTGACTGGAATCAGGGAGAGAGGGAGGAGGGTGGGTTTATCGATTGCTGGGCTGCACACTAAAGGGGCATCGCGTCCCCTCTGGGAGATTGTTTTGCTTGGAGCTGGGGCAATGATTGGCGCAACGTCCGTGAATTTCTCCGGCGCCGCTGCGACCGGCGCAATGGTCGGGTGGACGAATCGGGCGGCCCGGTCGGTGGTGGCCCGCAATCTAGTGGCTGGGTGCAGTGCAGATGCTGCGGTGCTCCGCAGGTGCGTAGTCGACTGTGTTCTGTGTCATTCGGCTCATACTGCTGTGGAGGATAGACGGGTAACCGTCGAGATAGAGATGAATGCATTCCGTGCGAAGAGATAGTCTCCGGTGTCCTGCGTCATCTGGTGGTTGCTATTGCTGTTGGGCTCAGGCTTGCGCGCGGTGGGTGGTGCTCGGATGGTGAATCCACCTTCGGGGTCCACGGGGAGCCAGTTGGCTGTGAAACGGGTACTTCCATCCGGCATTTCCAGCGGGGTAAGCCCGTTTTCCTCCAAGTCCAGGGTGAAGCTAATTTCCCTGGACTGGCTTTTGCTATTTCCTTCTGCGTTGCTGATAGTGGGCAGTGGGTCGCCAAACGAAGGTTGAACCAGTCCATCGTCGAGCGCGTGATGCAGTGAGACTGAGTCGGGGAAGCCAATATCGGGTAGTCCATAGAATTGGACCGGTTCGCCTTGATTGTATTCCCGGTCCCATTCCCCCTCGCTGCCACTGTATGACTGTTGGCTCATTCCCGGTGAGCTGCAGGGGTCATCGAGAAGGGGCGACTGGACGAAGTGCAATCGCGAGCTAGGGCTGTCCTGTGATGCTCGCGGAGAAGGTGTACTTGCAGGAATATTCATGTAGAGCGCGCGTTCAGTAGCTAGTTGGGATGCCGAGCGGAGCAAATCGTCTAGAGAAAAATCGGAGTTGGTGGGCTTGGTATCGGGGGCGGTGTTGAACGAGGATTCTCCGAATCTAGTGCAGCAGCCATTGTCAGCTGGAAGGTCCTGGAATCCTTTGATCATGCCATGATCATGCCGCACACTGGAGGACATACATTGAAGATATTTTGTCCGCCAATTGAGGCACATTCAGAGAATTAGCAACACCCATCGGTTGCGAGGGATGGTACAGCCCCGAGCCCGTTTCGCCTGTCGCTAAGTCGAATTCTGAGCAAAGCTCCGGGCTCAGTAATTGTGAAGATGACAGATCAAATCCGTTGAGACTCAGATGGCTTCCGTATAACTCCTCATCCGTGAAGTTAGACTCCAGGCCGAGCATCTGAGTCTCGGACGGGCCCATGGAAGTCCATTTCTCGAATTCTTGAGGATGGCTCGTATGCAGCATTGTGGCGAGGTCTTGCGTGGTGATTCAGCTAGTCGAGCGATGGAGATTGTAATGTTATACTGATTTGCATAGATCGTAGAAAGCACTACAGCATAACATTCAATGATGAGGAGTGCTGCCTCTGGAGACTTTGCACGGTTGATTGAACTATGGCATGCGCAACGAAGGCCTCGTCGAGAAGCCGCGCACGACGGCGATTGTTGCTTATAAGACATACTCCGCAGGTCAATGCAGCAGAGGGGCGTGCTAAATGAATCTTGAAATTGGGTTCGTCATCGTCACTGTTGCTTGAGGAAGTGGGCGACCAAGGCCGCAATGGGGTCGGTAAAATACAAACTGGAGCAATCGGACATTGGTGGAGCTTGGATACATTAGAACACTCAAGGGGAAGCTCAATGATTTGACGGACCAGGAACCATCTGATCTTCACGGGGCCATGTGGTGTCGCTGAACCTTGCATACCCCATATTCTGGACTGGCAATTAACCGAGCACCCTCCCCGGCCTGCCGAACTACGGGAATTAAAGGCTGTCAAAGCTGAGCGCCTGTTGGTTCGATTCCCAATGCAATGATTTTTCTCCCCGCAACGGCTTCGGTTTTTTTGGAATTTAACCGAGAGGCCCAGGTTCGGACCGAGTGAGCACGGCCCGTTCGTTAAATCTGGGGTAAGAGGAAGGGGCCGCCAACAACCCTGGTCCTTGCAGCAAGTGCAGAATCATGCGATGCTCGACATTAGCGACCGGGTTTATACCTGAAGCGATGTTTGCTATGTTAAGAGAAAGGGGCATGACGTTCGGGAAGTAGTGTCCAGAAAAAGAAAAACCGCTTAATAGTTTAAAACCAACGAGCCAGAACAAACAAACCACAAGACACCAAAAGCAGCATAAATGCTCGTATATGTACAGGGTAACATCGAAGTGCAGTATCCAAGAAAGATGGATAATAAATACTACGAGGTACTTCGGAATAATAGAAACAGCCGCTGTGATCAATGACCAATGCCGGGGTAAGGTCCGGCAGATGCAGGCACGGGGCAGTTAGCCAAAGAGGCGATCTGGAGCGAGCCCATTTCAGGCAAGGTAATCAACCGAGAGGGAGGGGATACCGTGCCTGCATATTCCAGTCTCTGCGACTGGCCTAGAACCGAGCATGCCCTGGCGGGAGATGATTTAAGCTCTCTCCAGCCGATGGCCTGCGGATGCGGAGCCGATGCAACCGTGCGCTGAAATGGGCATCGGCGCTGTGAGAAACTCTAATTCTAAAGAGCCAACCCAGTGCCCTTCCGGGTCCACCGGTAGAGTGCTAAGACGGCCTTGCGACGATGCCGGATCTCGCTGTGATTGACAGGGCGCCCACGCGCCTGCGCAACGGCGCTCCGCATGACCTGTCGGAAATTTCGTTGGTATTCAGTGTTCAACGTCACCACACAGGACTCGGTCGCTCGGATCATCACCTCGCACGCATTTAAAATACCCTCCCCGGCTTCTTTCTGCAGCCGCTCCACAATCAGCAAGAGAAGAAAGCTGCCTTGAAGTAATTGAATGCCGAAGAAATACGGCATAAAACTGATGTCGGGATCGTAACGTAGGATATGGTCCACCGAGTCTGCCGCATCAAGGGCGTGGGAGATGGTCGAGGCGAACGCGGGCGATGAAGTCCAGAAGTCCTTATCTTCGATCAACGACACAGGATCCCATTTCCCGACAAGAAGAATATGTAGCACATGCACGAGGTAAGATGCATACGAAATGACCGTCTGAGTATGCCATGAATAAGCCTGGGCAAGTGAGGGTTCGACTGGTTGTTGATCGGGTTTAGGGGGAAAGGCACTGGATAAGGGCGCATCTGGATCCGACGCAGTGGCAGCAAACGTTGTGAGACTAGCCTTGTAGAGCTCAAGCTGGCGCAGCACTTCACCGACGTGCGCATCCCAGGCGTCCTTTCCATTCAAGCGTGCTCCAAGCATCGGATGGTTACGAGCTTGGTTCAAGTCGATTAGTTCGCCAGTAATGGTCATGAGAGGCAGGAAGAAGCCGAAGATAGAGTGGTCATGGCAAATAAAATTGGGGAAAACACGGCGTTTGTTCTTCTCGCCTGACAGCGGGCACTGTGGTCCATCCGGTTTGGGACTATTGCTGTGGATGTTCCCAGACTGCCATGACCCTTCGTCCAGCGGCAATAAAAGATCCTCGCTTTCAGCGTCGAGTAGAGCAAGGGGGCGATTGTAGCAGAGAGCGAGGTGACGGTCCATGATGTAGAGAAGCCACCATGTCCGACGACGCTCTTCACGGTGCTCTTCGGTAATAGCGCCACGCAATTCGTGGCCACGGTCGCATACGCAATTCAAGCTTGGCCGAGCAGGGTTTGAATAATCGAAAAAGGGGCCCGTGTCAACGCCACTCCATCCCGCAAGTGAATAATCAAATGATGGGCTCGAGCCCTCTGGGTGATTCTCCTCACTAGGCATCACCTCGATCTCCTGATTGAGCTTCAGTTCCCGTGCCAGAGTAAAGGCGGCATGCCACCTAAGATTGGTTAGCTTCCTTGCTCGCTTTGGGTTACTTGAATAAAACGAACCATCGCATGCTGGCGGCCTTTTGTTCGCTTGAAGAGATGATGGATGCCACGTGGATGTATGTGATGACATCGTCCAATGATCCTGCAGGGCCGACCAGCCCCCGATCATCACCGCCGGCTTCAAATGGGTGGTGCACCGTTGTAGGGGGACAGTCCTGACCGACCGCAGCATGAAGTGGGTCGCTCGCCGCGGCGCCTTCTTGCTCTTTGAATGACACGTGAACCAACGGTCGCAAAAGCCGTAACGTTAGAGCACACAGGAATTGACATATCTTCTTTCTCTGGGGAGGAGATATCGGCAAAGCAAATGCACGGTCATCTAACGCTGCCACCCAAAGCATGCTGGCCAGAAGTGCAGGGCTGCTAGGCCGAGGAGCTTCCCGGCTCAGAAATGACGCCTTTCGTAGAACATAGCAATGAATGTGATGACACACGGGATGCATATGCGTGGAGAATGCGCTTGTGAAGTACAGGTCGAGAAGATCGTATACAAGCTTTCGAGGCAAGCTCGACTCCAAATATGGCATTACTGGCTGGAGTACTGGATATTTTAGGATCGTTGCAGACGGTGCTGGTGTCTGTCCAAGGCCTGTTATCTTGGAACCTTGAGATGCTGGGTCACTGTAACCGGCCAAGTCAACCCCATTCCAGATATCGAAGATTCGAGGAAAAGGGCCTTCCCCAGGGCCGATGCCTGCCAAGGGCTCATAGGAACCTGGAGAGACATGCGTGCCTGCGAGCCATTCCTCTGTCGCATTAACTGTATGCCCTGACTTCCTGGGAGGAAGTGATACATCCGCCTGAGAGCGCCGCTCGTCGATACTCGGGGCTGACACTGTCACATCATTTGTCGCTGGCGATCTATGGTGAAATGTTGAAGAGGGAGAGCCATTTGGAACCGGACCAGATCCTGCTTCCGCAGGTGCCGGTGCTGAGGCTTGAGACTCCACAGGTTTGGTCGGCTTTTCAGTGGCAGCATTTGTCTCTACCAGTCGGGATCGCGCAATGCGTCCTCTCTTTCGTCGTTCGCGAGTGAACTCGCATCGGATTTCACTGCGAAGGCAGCGCGAGCAGGGAAAAGCTCGATCACACCGCACGCGCCGCGAATGGCAGGAGTCACAAGCTATCCGATTCCTTCTCCAGCGACGTTTTGTTGAGGCTCCGCCGGTTGGTTCTTCGGTGGCTGCTGGAACACTGGATGCCTGGGCGTCCCCCGACTGGGCAGAATCCATTTCAGGCCGACATTGGCGATTCCAGAGGTATATGAGGGTATGCAAAAGAATCGCAGTCTGGTAAATTGGGGTTGAGAAGTCAGCAACCGGCCAAGACAAAAGGAGCGAAAGAACCGGCCGGTCCTTAGTCCTTACGAGGCAAATACAAGCGGGGAAAGAGACCGAGGCAGCTGTTGATGAGTAACTGGCTCGAGGTACGTACCCACGACGACAGCTAAGCCTTCTGGGATGCGCCGTTGACAAGACGCAATGCGGATAGAAACCCGTCGAGCAGAGGAGAGGACTTTTCCATGGAGGAGGAAGGGAGCTGAGTGGCAGAGCGCAAAACAGGCCGGGCAGAGCAGAAGCGATCCATCGCGGGGAAACCGTCGGGGCTGGACTCCGCACGCGCTAAAAAAGGGCCCTATTCCAGAGCCGGGCCACACATGGGGAGCTCTCCAGGGTTCACAGCCCTGGTGGCAAACTCTGGTTTGTCACTAACAGGCCGCGGTGGGGTGTGCCTAAACGTTTCACAGGAGATTGAATTAGGAGCACCTCTAGTACTCTGGTTTTGGGATGGTCGCTATGAGGTCGCTTCCTTGCGAAATCAAATGCCAATGGTCGGACAGCTGGCACGTTGCCAAGGCTAGTACCAAACTGATAATATATTGCTCCCGCTGTTGCCAACAAAATCCACCACAGAACTTAGTTGCGGACCGTCCGGTGTAGCCGAAGTCAGCACAGACTTCAATTGAAGTTGAATGCGGCAGTCTAATGGCTAGCATCGTACCATCGAGTCAGTAGTATAGGCGACTAGGTTCCTGCAGCTGCATCCGCATCTGCATGTGTACCCCAGCTGTGTGACCCTAGTAATCCGCGTCTCGGAGATCGGCCTCGCCCACTGCCTGTTCGGTAGGTGAAAAGTGAGACATTGTAGCAGATACGATGGGAACTCGTCGTCATCAACAAACTTAATCCTTCTCACTGCCACTGCTTTTTCAACGGTCAGCCGGATCTTGTAATATATTTAGTACGCCGTAAGTGATTGATCTATCTGACCGGTGCCCGCAGTGGGAAAGGCTTGTAGAAACCATATCCAATATGTTAACCAGGACCTGGTCGACCGAGGGATGTGGCAGTCAAGAGTAACCCGAGGAAGCATGCCGGGAGTAATTCAAGAGATGGGGAAGACGAACTTTTGGTTGATGCGGACAAACGAGACAAAGGACGTGACTCGATCACCTGATCTCCTAAAAGAATGGATTTTTCGAAGAAGGCGCGGTCCATGTCTTCTCCAAGCGCTGGCTGTCTAGGATCTAGCGTTAGCTCCAAGTAGACACGCAATCCGATGCTCCTACTTTGCTGGGCTCTAACCAAATCCAATCAAGCCCGATAATCGCAGTGAGCGATAGTAAGAAACTATTATGAGTTCTTGCAGGGTCGATCATTTGCTCGAAATGTAAAGGACTCACGGGCAATAATGCTGGTAAGATTATTCTCCTCCTGGGAAGAAGGATGTCTGCCATACTCCTCACGCTCCTTATCCGGCTTGGAGAAGACTGATGATGACGACTATATTTATGAAGAAAATACCGGAAAGCTTTCCTAGTATATTGACTAATTTTGGAGCTTGTGATAAGCAAAAGCTGAGCTATACTGTTGATTTACAGAAGACATGGTTACATTATTATAGATCAGGCTCAACAAGCCCCCGTAGGATTCGAGACCAGTTACTATTGGCTCACAAGTACGCTCCAGAGTAAATTTAGGCGCCCCCCCCCGCTTGCACACCATGAACAGGCCGTCAGCGGCCCTGGGCAACCTTCTTATAATTCTCTAACGCACGATCTCGACTCTGAGAATGATCCACTATCGGCCTTGGATAACCATTCCTCTCAGCAATATCCCCAGCTCCTCGGCCATATGGGTCATGAACCGCCGCGCCCTCAATCGCCCGTAGTTCCGGCACCCAGTGACGAATGTACTCGCCTTCTGGATCAAACCGCTCACTCTGGCGTAGAGGATTGAAGATCCGAAAATATGGCTGGGGATCAACCCCAGTACTAGAACCGAATCCCCAGCCGCCGTGGTTCGAGGCGAAGTCGCCGTCTATCAGGTGTTCCATGAAATATCGTTCCCCTGCGCGCCAATCTATCAGTAGGTCCTTCGAAAGAAATGATGAAACGACCATGCGCGTGCGATTATGCATCCAGGCGGCGTGGTTCATTTGGCGCATGGCGGCGTCAACGATCGGATAGCCAGTTTTGCCCTCGCACCAAGCATTGAAGTGATCTTTGTCATACGACCACGCTAGATTTGTGAACTCGGGTTTGAAGCACTTGTTCATACTGTAAGATGATCGTGGTCAGTGTGGATACAGATAATTAGCAAATATGGAGAAAACACACCATATGAATGGCCAATGTACCAGGACATGCTTATAGAAATCTCGCCAAGCGACCTCGCTAATCCACGATGCATATCCAGTATGGTTCGCATTCAGTTGGCCTTTGTTCTTTTTGCGTGCCTCAAAAACAGCCGTTCGTGCACTAAGTGCCCCAGACGCGAAATAGGGGCTTAGCACGGATGTATTCCGCCCCGCGAGTGAGTTTCGCAAATCATCATAGTCGTGTGCCTTCTCCTCCAGAAACGCCTCCAGCCTACGGAGTGCTTCATGCTCGCCCTCCGGGTACAGCTCCCTGAATCTTGTCTTTTGTTCCTCAGTAAGACGTTTGTTCTCCGGTGCAACGGGTACCTCGCAGTCAAAGAGGGCCTTGAAGTGCTTGCGTGCATCGCCGGGGTTCGAACCTGGCTCATCCGCGACCTCAAGGTATTCTGGATTCTCATTGAGGAAGGCACACCAGGAGCGAAACCACGGGCTATAGACTGCATACTGTTTCCCCTGTTGGCTGACTAGCTTGCCGGGAGTGACAACGCATGTATCATGTGCTGCTTCAAATCGTATGTCGTTTCTTGCGCACAGTCGTACTAAATTCGCCTCACGGCGCAATTCATCGACTTCATACTCCAGGTTTGCAAAGAGGTGACCCGCACCCCATTCCTGGCATAAATCTATAATCCTTTGAGGAATGTCCTTCCTCGCTTCCTGTGTCTCCATATACAAAGGAATATCCAGCTCATTCAAGTCTCGTCGCAACAATTCTAGTGTTCGTAATGTCAGATCCACACGAGGAGCGCTCGACAAATGAGCTGTCAGGTCCTCCGGAGAGAGAATATACAAGCCGATTAGAGGTAGGTTGTGTTCTCGCGCAACCTGATATGCCATCTGTAGGCCGCGATTGTCATGTAGTCGAAGATCTGTTTTGAACCAGTGAACGACGGCTGCCTTGGGCTCAATTTTCTGACGTTCATCGAACGTGTCTTCGTACGCCCTCTGTAGGGCTTCGATGGGTCGCTCCAGCGTTCCGTTATTGTAAGCCTCGCACCGCTCGTTGCACATCTCAGGGGGATAGAAGTCACGCAGGATGATGCCAAAGTCTTCTGTATCTTTGGCATGGGGATGTGGACGCATAAGATCGGGCTTTCCGCGTTTATTGGTGTCTGATGAGGCACCATTAATGGCGGAAATGCTCGATGACTTGCGCTTTTTTGGTGGCATGTCGCTAATGAGCGCTATGAAGGCGCGTTGCAGAGATACTGTCCTGTAGGTGAGAACTTGTTGGGTATTGAAAAGTGGCCGGACGTGCAGACTCCGGAGAATCATACCGCGATTGATTTTTCGAAGGGCAATGGGAAAGGCTGGGTTTCGTTGAGCTCTGGGGTCAGATCGATCGAGGATCTGGACCGCGCCAGGGACGCTGACGTCAATACCCGGGAGGTTATCTCAACGAAACAACATCCCTGCGCTGGGACCTGTTCTAGGTGTTGCTAACTGTGCTTTAAACAATATAAGCTACCTTTTACATGTTCTTGCAAGAAGCCTGTTAGATTTGGACTTTGACCGATAGAGTCCTTGCGCGACATGGCGCATTCAATTGCCGATTATAATGTTCCTAGACAGAGGCAGTCATGCACTAGGCTGCGCGTTCAAGATCTCAATTAGGCAAATAAGCAGGTGACCGCACGTTCGTGTATCATTTATCTTTCAGCAGGACATGAGTGGATCCGCAAAAGGTGGTTTGGCTGTTCACTATAGTGAGCAAGTCGTCGGTAGTTCGTCTAGAAAGGCGGGTGTTTGTACCCGGGACAGAAGCCGAGTCATTGCCCAATTCCAAGCTATGATAACGATTCTCATACTAGGTTAAGCAGTATCTCTGTATAGATGGAGATATTGTACCATTTCTTAAGGGACCTCTGCGACTAAGGGGCTCAAGGTCCATATAAAGGGATGCAAGCATTGGGTACAACTTGACCTCTAAGATAATTGGTAGGTTCGCATTCTGATGAAATTAGTATGTGTATGTGAAACTCAGAACCTTGCATTTGGTGTCTATAGCAGTTCATAGACGGGGTGTTCTGTTCGAGTAGAATTCCCTGCCGATACAAGGGCATCTCGAGGATATTGCACAAGTATGAACGGTTTAAGTGTAGGAAAGGCTTTCCCATTGATAACTAAGAAGCTTCACTCCGCAAGAAAAACAAAAATAACATTGAATAGTGCCATGTGTCATATATAATTTGATAGATGGTATTGGGAGAGGCACCGAAGTATACGGAGGACATTTGCGATTTGTGGGAACTACCCGAAGAGGCAGGAGAAGAAGGCAAGTTGTTGGTATCTATGCCTGAGGCCACCAGGCAGGAAGTGTTGTGACTTTTTGACTTTCCGTGAGTTTCCCCCGCCAAGCACGGCAGAATGAAGAATTTATCCCAACAGCGGATGGCTCCTTTTTGAACAGCAGTCAACAAGTCAATGGTGATGATGTTTTAACTAATTAAACTAGTGCAATTTTGCACCACTCTCTATCGTGACATCCACTGTACAATCAAATACAAATAGATGTCTTGATTGTGCTGCCCTTGATGCACGCCCTGCCAATGGCAAGACGGTTTGGAATCTGATGGAAAGAGGCTGAATGAGGGTGACTCTGAGCTATCCCCCCCAAAGCGGACCACGTCAACCAAATTCAAAAAGCATCCGTGGCATCTTCCTGCCTTGCACTTTCTACTCCACCGCTGGTGTTTGACAAGCCAGTGAATACACATCACTGTATATCCAGCAGCTGCGTTATTTGCATTCGGCCCAGTATTTGTCTTGCTTGCACTTGTCCCTGTGACTACTAGCACGTAGATGGCTGCGCTATTCCTCTTCTGCTCGGGCCTGTTCTGGCTTTAACTCCGATCACTATCTCCGAATACCCAATTGTTATCTCCGAAGGATATCATTCACAAGCAGTCATACCTGCCATGTCAATGTTCAGGTCCCCTGGAGAGGTATCATCCTCAGAGTCGTCTTCGGACGCGTCTTCGGACGAAAGTCAACATGATGTCTCTACGGAAGACTGCGTTCCCGTTCAAGGTACACAGCAGAGTAAGGAAAATGGCATTGATGAATCTCGCCTCCTGCAGGACAATGCCCTTCGAGACCATGAGGCTGATTCCGGCAAGGTGCTGGAGGGTGATACAAAGGACCATTCAAACATGATGACGGCTGCCCTTCTCGAATTTTACTGTCTTTCTCGGGCGGCAGACATCTTGAACAAACAGGCGGGCGCCAATGGACAGTACACGCGTGACTCGCCTGAAGTGCGATATCTCGGGAACCAGTTGTACACCCACAAGTCTGCATTCCTGTCCTCAGTAGGGGCGGTGTCTCAGGGTATTGAAGGAGATGAATGGGGGGCAACAAGGCAGTATTATCGCGACAACCTTGATATGTTGGGCATGTCTATGCTAGACAAACTCAAAATCGACGATGTCGGTGGACAGCAATCTGGAATCATAGCAGCAAACGATGGGGGCCCGAGCTTAGAGCAAAGTAAATCTCTTCAGCTGTGGTCGACCAATCCAGGTTTGAACATGATGCACCCCGGACCTAGTGGTGTTGGACTGCCAGCCGGCCAGAAGCGATTAATTGGCCATGAAAACGTCCCTGCCTCACGAAACTTTCCATTCGACCTTACGGCTTTGCTTAATCCGTCAACACAATTTCCAGGAAGCTCGACAGTTGGCTTGCCTCTGCTTCAGCCCAAACCACAACCGCCAAGCAGTCATTTGTCACGTTACACTATGGAGTTTTCTGAGGTCAAAGTTCTGGGCCGTGGCTCCTTTGGCGAAGTATACCACGTCAAAAACCACATAGACGACCAGGATTACGCAATCAAAAAGATTCCTCTCAGCCAGCGACGACTTCAGCAGCTACAATGTGGCAGTCAGAATCAGCTGGAAAAAATCATGAAGGAGATAAGAACACTCGCTCGACTCGAGCATACCAATGTCGTTCGATATTATGGCGCCTGGGTGGAACGATCTCCCATTTCCGGTTACGCTACTTCGCTGCACGAGGAATCTGAAGACATCAACTCTGCGCAGATGCAAAGCCGCACTTATAGCATGGGGATGACAGACAGTAAAAGCTTCGGGATCGTTTTCGAACAGTCAGAGACTTCGGATGTATCACAGCATTCATTACAATTAGATCCTGAGTCAAAGGGCTCCAGTGCATATCATCGCCGTCAGAGCCACTCCAGTGTGGGCACCCACACATCAAAGGCATCCACTGCACATGGCATGGGGGAAGATGATGAGGTAGAGACCATCCCGCGCAACTTCAGCCTCGCCTCGCAAGACCCGCTGTCTACCTTTGGTGGCACCGATGATGATATTTTCACGGATGGCCTCAGCGAAGATCCGTCCAAGCTACAAATTCAGCGCCGATACCGAAGCGCAGCTCAACTGCCCGCTGTTGTTCTGCATATACAAATGTCGTTACACCCGATCTCGCTGAGCTCTTACCTCAACTCACAACCAAGCGCAAACGCGGAGCACGACAAAACGCTCCCACGGCGCCACTGCTATCATCTGGTGCCTTCTCTAAAGTTAATGCTGGACATCATCTCCGGCGTTGATTATCTGCATTCCAAGGACATTGTGCACCGCGATCTGAAGCCAGCTAATATCTTCCTTTGTGCCCCGGACAAGAAGCAATTGGATGGATGTTCACCCTGTGCAAGCGCGCATGGACCGATCTATAGATATTGCCATCCTCGTATTGGTGATTTCGGTCTCGTCGCAGACATCTCGCACATCAACGATTGCCCTCCAGAGGGCTCTTCGTCAGAGCCACAAGACGCAGAGATTCACACTGTCGTTGGAACCGAATTCTACCGTCCACCTTTTCACGCCAGCAAGGTAGGAATGACAGAACGCCCACGCCAGCATGGCAAACCAGCATCCTTATACGTCATTGACGAGACGCTCGACGTATACGCGCTGGGTGTTACTTTGTTTGAACTAGTTTATCCACTCAATACCAAGATGGAGCGCCAGCTCGTTCTCACCGGGCTCACCCGAGGACCACCCGGGCGAACTTCAACCGGACCTATCTTTCCCGAAGACTTCTCACACAAACTTCATATGGGCTCCATGACCCTTGCTGGTGGAACGTCAGTAGCTGAATATGTAATGACGTGCATAAAGGGCATGCTAGAGCCAGATCCGCAACAGCGCTGGCGCTCCCCGCAGATTAAGAAGTATTTGAAGGAGCTTCTTTCCCAGGTGCAGGGCCTAAGCTAGCCTAGTGGTCTGTAGCATGACCTCCGAGGGTTGGAATGTGTTTGAAGGTAGAGAAGTGATCGATGGATCAATTAGTTGGGGTTGGCGACGTGCACATGGTCAAGAACATACTGGAGATCTGGAAACGGGAGTCGATTAGCGGGCAAGGAAAAGGGATCATGTAAATAATCTAGAGGTAAGCATAGCGTTGTGCCGAATTAGACTGATAGCATTTCCCTGCATGTTGTAACACAGACTATTGAATGTTGTGAGATCACTCCGTACAACGTAGACAGCGGCGAACTCCCCGACCGCCACAACAAGCAGGGCCTCGGCGATGCTCCGACCAGCCCGAACCTCTCTCTCTCTTCTCCACCACCGCCAATTTGCGGGGGTGCAAACCGAGCAGTTACATCTCTTCAATCTATGACTGTATATTCTAGGATCCGATTGAACTGGCTCGCGAACAACAACCGTGCCACAAGACGACGGGAGGGCAGAAGAAGGGATGACAGCTGTTGAAGTGTTGTTCGGTGTTTGCAGTGCCAACATCATCCAGCCCAGGCATGAAAAGTAAAAGACTTTCCAATGCGGCTACTGCGTCGTCACCCCGCAACGATGATATGCCGAAGCACGCGGGCGATCAGTTCCCCGACCGCGGGCGCTTTCCGTCCATACAACGGCGGTATATATCTCAGCCAAATCCATACCTTCGCCCATTCAATTCCTTGCGCGTGTCTTCCTCGTGCACGACTCTCCACCACAGGCACTATCAATTCTCATTGACCGCCATTGTCTAAGTGCTGAGAATTAGCAGTATATTGGATCAATTGCAGGCTTCCATAGCATACTACTAGCTCCATACGACAAGATGCCGAAGGAGAGGCAGTTGTCTGCGCAGCAGATATCCGAGCACAAGACGCCCGACGACTGCTGGATTGTGGTAGACAATCAGGTATGGGATGTGACGGATTTCTTGGAAGAGCATCCGGGAGGATCTTCAAGTAAGCTCCCAGCGTCAAGGTTGCCAACGACGAAAGCTTTGAGACTGACACATTAACACAAGTTATCCTAAAGTACGCCGGACGCGATGCCACCAAAGCATATTCTGAAGTCCATGCTTCGAGTGTTATCAAGACACACCTATCACCAGAGCGTAGAATGGGAGTGCTGGATGAAGCAACAATCAATGAGGACTGGTTGAAGCAACCGCCCACTCAGAATGCGCCCTTGCTTCTGGAGAACGAAAAGCCACCGCTAGATACCTTGATCAATTCTCACGACTTCGAATTGGTAGCATCGAAGACCGCCAGTAAGAAAACATGGGCGTTCTATTCCAGTGCTTCGACAGACCTGATCACGAGGGATGCGAACAAGCTGTGCTTTGATCGTATATGGCTCCGACCGAGAATCCTAAAGAATGTGCGATCAGTCGACACGAAGACCAAGCTGCTTGGCGTCAATACCGAGCTTCCGCTCTTCGTTAGCCCAGCAGCAATGGCGAAGCTCATCCATCCAGACGGCGAGTTGGGAATTGCTAAAGCTTGTGAGAACAAAGGCATTTTTCAAGGGGTATGCTCGTAATCTATCCCCTGAATATTGCCCTCATTGCTTTTTCATACTGATTTCCTATGCAGGTTTCCAATAACTCTTCCTATCCCCTCGATGAGCTGCACAGTGCTGCACCATCGGTAAATATGTTCTTCCAGCTATACGTGAACCGCGATCGTGCAAAGTCCGCTGCTCTCCTTCGCCAATGCTCCGCCAATCCCAACGTCAAAGCTATCTTCATCACGGTGGATGCCGCCTGGCCTGGGAAGCGGGAAGCAGATGAGCGTGTAAAAGCCGACGAAACACTATCGGTCCCAATGGCGCCATCCAAAGCAAAGAATGACAAGAAAGGTGGCGGTCTGGGACGAGTAATGGCAGGATTCATTGATGCCGGACTGACCTGGGAGGATATGGCGTGGGTGCGACAGCATACACATTTGCCCGTATGCCTGAAAGGTGTGATGTCCGCTGATGATGCGATCCTTGCCATGGAAGCCGGGCTCGACGGCATCCTGTTGAGCAACCATGGCGGGCGGAATCTCGATACCAGCCCACCTTCCATTGTCACTCTATTGGAGCTACACAAGCGGTGCCCGGAGATTTTCGATCGGATGGAGATTTACGTCGATGGTGGTATTCGGCGGGGAACAGACATTCTCAAAGCAGTGTGTCTGGGCGCAACAGCGGTTGGAATGGGACGCAGCATGCTGTTTGCAACTAATTATGGACAGGAGGGTGTAGAACATTTGATTGACAGTAAGTGTGCTCTTTATCCAGCTTCCTTTCCCTACACTTGGCCAATTTCTGCTTGCTAAAAACTCTCACCACCAGTCATGAGAGACGAGCTCGAGACAGCCATGCGCAATGTAGGAATTACTAGCCTCGACGAGGCTGGTCCCCACCTAGTCAACACAGGTGATATAGATCACCTGGTCCCCAACTCAGCCACCCATCCCTACGCACGAATGGTAGCTAAAGGACGACGTCCCACTGGACCTAAGCTATGATATGAATGATGAGAGTTAGCTATAAGGTCTTAGACAGTTTGGTAAATACAGAAACGCATCCTCACCGCTTAGATAGTCGCAGAATATCCCCATCTTAAGCCGCGGACGTGAGGATCTCTGATTGGGTAGACTCAAGACTCCTTGAGCACCATTCTGCGTATCATTACGAAACAAGCTAAACAATTGCATGGATTGAAGTGGTACTGACATAGAAGGGCTAAGTTCATTGCCAGTAGTACCTGAAATATCGGCAATTAAACAAGTTGCGGGATGAAGTCAAATCCTTAGCAGGAACCGCTTATACCTAGCAAGCACCGTTTATGAAGCTTTGTGAATTATCTCCGGATTCGGAGAACCACTCCCCACAACTGACTCGACACACGCAAGGAAAGAGACGACTGGAGATCGAGGGAACCGGTGGAGCCGGGCCCGTTTTTGGGATCATCGACTTCCTGTCATCTCGCTTAGCCGCTGGCGTGTTTCTACCCGGCGCCAAACCCCAATCTATCTCCGGCATTTGACTTCGACAGTTCAACTTCATCTCGTCCATTCGATCAATCTAGCTTTCAGCGCATCTCAAGCTCGTATGATGGATCCGCCTTGCAGGCATGACGACTCAATCGACGACTGCGTGATTCTTCATGGTTCTGCCAATCTGCAGCCCCCATGACTTCTGAAACAGCGAATCTCCGAGCAACGCCATCGAGCTGCCTCGGCCATAGATCCTTTCATCAAACTGGAATTGATCTGGAGATGACGGAAGCTTCGCTTAGCTTGATAGTTAATCAAGAAATTTGGCAGAGCTGATCATCCGAGAAATGTTAAATAGCATAAACCGCCCTCGAAATGATTCTGCTCTGCAAGCAGATCGATCTCTTCCGACTCGTCAGTCTTTCATTCCTTTCACTTCTGAACTTCATTGATTGAAGTTCTTCCATTCTTTCGTCACTCTTTAGATATTCCGCTGTGCGTGAATCAGTACAAAATGTCTCTTTCTAAGTTTGCGGGAGTCTTGCTGGCCTCAGCTTCCCTTGTGGCTGGACATGGGTATGTGTCGAGCATCGAGGTGGACGGTACTACTTACGGTGGTTACCTGGTTGACACCTACTACTACGAGTCCGATCCCCCGGAGCTGATTGCCTGGTCCACGAATGCCACGGATGATGGCTATGTCTCTCCCACCCAATACGAGAGCTCCAACATCGTCTGCCATCGTGGCTCCGCTCCTGGTGCACTTGAGGCTCCGGTCGCACCGGGTGGAACCGTCAAGATGACCTGGAACACTTGGCCCGATGACCACCATGGGCCAGTGATCACCTACCTGGCCAACTGCAATGGCTCTTGCGCCGATGTCGATAAAACGGCTTTGCAATTTTTTAAGATCGATGCTGGTGGCCTGATCGATGATTCTGAGATCCCCGGCACCTGGGCTACCGACAAGCTTATCGACAACAACTACACCCGCAGCATTACCATCCCATCTGATATCGAGGCTGGAAGCTATGTTCTTCGCCACGAGATTATTGCCCTGCACGGTGCTGAGGACTTGGATGGCGCCCAGAACTACCCCCAGTGCATCAACCTGAACGTCACCGGAAGCGGCACTGCCACCCCGAGTGGAACCCTGGGAACTGCCTTGTACAAGGACACCGACCCCGGCATCTACGTTGACATCTGGCAGAGCATCAGTAGTTACACCATCCCCGGCCCGACCCTCTATACCGCTGGCAGCACTGCCACCGCGGCTGCTGCTACGACCACCACTGCTGCAGCCACCAGCGCATCGACGACTGAAGCCGCTGTCGTGACGTCTGCTGCCGCCTCTTCCGCTGGCACTGGATCCCAGACCACCATGGTCACCTCCTCTCGTCCTCAGCCCACTGGTAGCTCCGACAGCTCCTCTGGTATTGGTAGCTCTGGTAGCACCAACAGCCAGTCCGGCAGTGGCTCAATGGCTGGCGGCCAGTTTGGTCAAACCCAGCCTGGTATGGTAGGATCCGGCAACGCCAGCCCTTCCGACTCGGCCTCTACCCCCACCAGCTCCACTCCCAGCGCTGCTTCCAGCTCCGCATCTTCGGTTACCTCGGGCGTCTTGAGCGGCTCTTGCAGCCAGGAAGACTACTGGTACTGCAATGGCGGCACGGCGTTCCAGCGCTGCGTCAATGGCGAGTGGGATGCGTCTCAGAGCATGGCTACAGGCACTGAGTGCACTCCTGGAATCTCGGAGACGCTGACTATCGCTGCTTCTTCGAAGCGTCGCAATGTTAGCGGTCTGCGTCGTCGTCGCTTGTAAGCGAGATTGCGGGTTATCATGTTGTGAGTGGTGTGTAGAGGATCTGCGGCATACGTGGCCTGCATCTATTTTCTCTTCATGTGTATATTTACATTGCCTTGACCAGCTCTAGAAGCTTTGATAGTGAAAGACATGGAGTCAAATGCCAAGCGTATAACGCGAATCTTTATTCCATCGCGTACCATTCCAAGCTTATTGTAGCCTTATCTCAAATGTGTCAGATACTTAGCTTCTTGATCTATACCAGTAGACCAATCTTAGTCATTAGATCTCTAAATCATCCCTCAATACAGTAATTGCTATCAACACTGACATTTAGCGGAAGTTATAGTGAGTGATCTTTCCGTATTGATATCCTCAACTGCTACAGAAGGCACCGTGGCTGTACCGTATCTTGGTAGAATGTCATAATAGTATGAGCAAGGCATTGGATACTAGAAAATGGTGATAAAAAGTGCCAGACTCGGATACGTATCCATGTCATGCGTGAACGCTTTATGATAAACTGGCCACGGGCCTGATTCTCGGTTACTTCGCTATGCTGTTTGTTGAGACATTCACTGCAGCCAGGCAGCTGTCAGCTGATCCTTCGCCTCTTCTTCCTGCGTGGCCTCTGACCACTACCTCAACCCAACCACCAACCATCTTCTTGAGATCTAGATAGATCAAATCCATATTACTTTGCCCCTTCGTCTTGACACTGTTCTGCGTGAAGGCCGAGTCCGATGACATTCTTTCATAGTAATGACCATCTTTCCTTCCTGAGTATCCGAGCAATGTAGACTGTGGAGCCTTTCATGAATAGGCGCAGGGCGCACAGGCGAAATTCAAATTATGTCCTTTGATACATAGACCACAGTAGTACGAGTCCAGCTAGCGTGGACAAGGGGCCGGAGAGGTGTGGTCGAAAGAAAAGCTCGGTAATAATGACCCGGCGAGCTGCAGAGGAAAAGCAACATTGGCATGCCACTGGCATGAAAGAGAGGAGGGAGGCTTCACCCATTCACGGAGACACCTTCAACTTCTGGGAAGTGGACGAGGCATACAAATGCTTAAGGAATCTGGGTGAGCCTTGGGGTACAACATGTTTGCTGCCAAAATGCGGATGACGTTGCGTTCCTGCTTGCTCCGGAGGGGTTCCCTAGTACTGGTAGGTTACTGATTAGATGAGTATGTTGTACGACACCAAATTGATAGAAGACCTACATTCTATCCCCACACTAAGGATGTGGTAAGGTGGTGGGTGATGTTAATGTAGAGTGATTGTCCTCCCCCCTCACTGAGCTAGTGTATGCCGTGTAGCGTTATAGCGTGCACTCCTTCTCCCAATCTTCTTTTCGAATACATGTGTATTAATGTGAATTCCGGCGTCCAGATGTCGATCGCATACTGGTAATCCTCTTCGTGGAACCCTCCACATGCCGAGGACTGGGCTACATGTTTGTTTGTCCCCTGCCAGCGAGACACAGCGAACTTTTCTTCCCTGTTCAGTTCTGTCATCCCTTTCTTTCTTTCTTTCTTTCTTTCTTTTTTCTTTTTTCTTTAGCTTTCCCTCATTCCCTCTCACCCTTTTCTTTTTGTCTTATCATTGGTGCAAATACTAGCTATACCGTTATCGCCGTGTTTGGAGACAGAAGCTGTGCCAGTTTGGATCGACCATCCCCCTACTTCAGGATAGCATGTCCGAGAAGGTTCCAACGTAACTTGCCATCTTGCAGACCCCCTTTTAAATACTTTATATAATTTCTCGGCAAAACAGGAAGTTGTCATAGCAGCAAACCAATATCTACTCTTGTTGTTGAGGACGGACCGAAGGTGTCGCTAGTGACACAGGCTAATTGTGCAGTGACAAATATCTTGCAGACACTATATATCTTAAGATTAGGGTCCCGCTACCCAGAAGCCGAAAAGGAGTCGAAATTGTATTTCCGATGCTTAGGGAGTGGGCAGGATCCCAAGAGCCCGTCCACTTATAAAGCTACCGACTTTTCTTCCCACCACCCTATCAAAGCAGGGTTCATTTGAAAATGACAAGTCTAAGTACTTCGTAGTCCATTGACTACGCTGTTCAGCCAGCATCTCATTGGTCTGCCGGAGTTCGGGCACTTAGCATGGCAGAAGCAATGACGCATGTGTATCCTCAGCCGTTCAGCCGCACGGGTGGGTCGATAAACCAAGCCACCTCAATAGTTTCATTCTTGCTTTTGCCTTTCCTGCTTGCGGAGTGCCCCAATGTAGTTCGACCTGCGGGGTAATCTCCTATCACGAGCGCATTGAAGCCTGCCGCGAATGCGGCAGGAGACAGGTTGCACCGACTCGGGTGAGAATGCAGGAGATACGCAGCTTGACAGGAAGAGATCATCAACTACGGCTTCCTTTTACAGCACAGCAGGCGAACACTTCTCTTGGTGCTTGGACTGCACGGTGAGCTGGTCTCTGATATCGCTGGCATGTTTCTCATTGGCCCACGGCCCTTGCACACGTTTTGCTGGCGGGTAGGTAAAAAGCCTGCATGATCTGCAGCACAACTGGCTGCATTTGCTAACATTTTAGATGCGAGTGGCGAAGTAGAAATTCTTGGGGAAAGATAGCCAAAAGCTAGAAGTGTGATAATATACCGAAACAATAAGTTACCCATACTAGTATGTATAATTCAACCGTATGAGTGGATCATGCAGTCGAGCTACATCCAATGAGTGAGCTAATTTAATCTACCCTGCGTAGTAGCATTGCCACTCCAGAGTCGGCTGAGTGCGGCTGAACCCAGCTAGTCCACATCTATTTATCTTGTTCTGTGACACTCGGTGGAGCGTCTATGGAGAATATTTGACGGGGGCATCACAGATGTCTAGGATATTTACCCACTGTAGTGTTGATGGGAAATGATCTTCCACATGGATTGGCATGCTATGGGATCCCTTCCTTCTAATTGTTGGATTGCGAGAGATGGCTCACTCAACCAAATTGCTATAACTCCAGTGTTCCGCGAGCATTTTCAATTCCCTGTTAAATTCCGACTGTCCATAGTCGATAGGGGCCGGTAATATAGTATGTAGACTAGGCGCTTGATCTTCCTCACTGCCCACAATCCTTTGGTCATCGTATGGCAGCTCATAATCAATTAGGCAGAGAGAATCTTTCTCGGCAAGAAATGGTAGACCTAGGTCTACCAGCGTTGTTTACTACCATCTACATTTCCTACCTTGGGCCGATGGCAAATACCGTTATATTATGTAATGCTTTTCACATGAAGTCGAGTTGTCGATAACTCGAAAGGTAGATGGGTCAAGTCTCCTTTCGCTTGGATGAATAGCAGCCCTGCCACCGTACCTCATGCATGGTTTTGTTTCCTATCTAAAGTAACAATGCATTAGGACTGCCAATTTCGGGGATTGAAAATAAGTAGGCTAAGAGAACTAGACTAAATGCATCTCCCCGCACTAGCCTCTCCCACGGGTGTCATTGGAGAATTTACTACCATGCTATCGCGGGTAATCTCAAGTTGAGGGGATCTCCGGTCCACTTGGCAGTATAATACTATTCTACAGACATTGCGAGAAGATCGGCTGAAACTAGCATATATTCGGAAAATGAAGTGGTGGCTACGCAGTTGGTGTCTCTCCGAATTCTCACTGAGGTATCCTAAACGGGGCACCTGAGCATTAAGTAGGCGATTGACAAAGGAGCTGAAAGGTTTAAGAACCCCGCACCAATCAGTACAAGAGATATATCGATTGGGTAATAAATTTTACTGATTACAGTATCTATGGTAGTAGGTGTCTCTATTCGTATATTTAAGGCCCGACCCCCCAGGTCTGAATTCTCACTTAGCAGCCTTCCATCTATCAAGAACATTGTCATACTTCCAGCTCTCAATCCTTTTCCCTTACGCTCATATAATTTTTTATTGCTATAACCGCCCAGGCAACTCCCTTCGCCCCCACTCTCAATACGCTCAATATGAAGGTCTCTTCAATTATTCTCACTGCCGTTTTTGCTGGGTTTGCGGCTGGTGCACCCGTTGCGAGCGAGGACAGCGTAAGAACTCATTTCCCCGTAATTATTTGTATGATCTCTGATAATTTTGGTTTGGTACCGGAATAGAGCATCAGTACTTGTCCTGATCTCAACGCACTCCAATGCTGTTTTGCCTGTCAAAAAGTGCCATCAGCAAGCTCGTCGTATGGACCTATATGTTGCTACGCTTGTGGATGTTAGGGGACCACTCGAGCAAAATTGCAGATTTCCCCAGTCTTACTCCAACAAGCTCGTCCTTTCATCTACGTCTTTATGATATGTTTCGCTTGGATTTTGTGCCTCAGTGCAGGTTTTCCCTGTCAACCAGATTTTCCTGTGCTTTTACGTGAATGCAGAGGCTGATATGTAACTGTTTACATGCCTTGTTGCAGAGTTGATGACTAGTCTTGGGCATTACTACTACGATGAATTCATGTGATATGTTACTCCCTGTCTAGTTTAGATAATAGTTCTATTGGTGTTCTAAATCTATGATTTCGAACCAGAAGAAGCACTGGGACATGCCTTTATCCCCGACGTTCTCTACTTGCATCCCGCGACGATGTCCAGTATGACCTTGAGTTGTCTCCAGATAAAGATGCATTAAAGACCATAGAAGTTGAAATATGGAACACCAGGAGAGGTACGCCAGACTCGATTTCTAGAGATATTTACCCTCCGGTAGTAGAAGGCTTGTATCTCTGCCGAGAATTCACTAGGAGGCAGCGATCTTGACAGATATGTAGCAAAGAGAAGAATAAAACAAATCCTTGATTGGCTTTGCACTGCACTTTACATGGTGATAACCATCACCATTAAAGACTTTCCTTGCTAGCACAAAAGATCATTCTTATCCATTTTTGGGTCAGATTGCAGGGTGGCAAGCTCTCTGATCCAACAAGACGTGTATTGGGGGACAGTGGAATAGGCCCGAACCGCCCGACACCCGGGACCCCAGGAAACGAGCTAATTGGCCCCTCACG